ACAGTATTAATATATTAGAAGCCCTTATCCTATTCTCCTTAGGGTCCCTACTGTAACTCTATATATACAGCATTAGGCTCATGGAAGAATAGGAGAATCACACAGTTTGGAAAAATCGTCCAGCCCCTCTCTTTCTCTCTCTTCCAAGGAGTTCTTTTATTTCTTGTGTTCCACTGATACAAGATCTAGAAAGCTGTTTGAGAATACAGTAGAAGATCTTAAGGTATACAGAGATTCCGATCATACATCCAAACTGGAGACCAAAACCAGCAAGTGACCATACCACGACGACCAGGACGACGAGACGAAGAGATCGCCGTCGAGATCGCCGCCGGAAGCCGCCGCACGCGCCGCCACGCGCCGCCAGAAGGGAGCCGTGGCTGGATCTTGCAGACGCGCGTGAGAGCGCGTGAGAGCTCCGTTTTCCGACCGGTCAACGCCGTTGACTTCGCCGTGACGTCAGCTTTCCGGATTGGTCAAGTTTGTTCGATTCCGAGAAGATTTGATTTGCGGTCAACTGTCCGGGCCAGCCAGATCTACATAAATTTTAAGCAGTAAGTTTTCTTCATCAAACCTTTAGATCCGCTGCGCATAGGTTTATGTTGAATGTTTGTCCGTGATTTGTGCATATCGAGATCCTCGTGGGTTCCAACAGGATCTACCTCGATACGTGCCTGAGTAATGACATGGCCAAGAAAGGCTACTCGTTGGAGCCAGAATTCGCATTTGGAGAATTTTGCATATAACTTTTCTTGTCTGAGGGTTTCGAGAACAAACCTCAAATGAACCTCGTGCTCCTTCTGGATCTTGGAGTAGATAAGAATATCGTCAATGAAAACAATAACGAAATGATCGAGGTAGAGATGGAAAATACGGTTCATCAATTTAATGAAAACCGCTGGAGCATTACTGAGGCCAAATGGCATGAAGACGAACTCATAATGGCCGTAACGACTACGGAAAGCGGTTTTAGCAGTATCTGACTCCTTGATTTTCAACTGATGGTAGCCTGATCGCAAATCAATCTTGGATAAAATGCAAGCTCCACTCAACTGATCAAATAAATCGTCAATCCTGGAAAGCGGATACTTATTCTTGATCGTCAACCGGTTAAGATCCCGGTAGTCAATACACATGCGCATGGAACCGTCCTTCTTCTTTACAAAAAGAACGGGTGCTCCCCATGGTGAAATGCTCGACCGGATGAAACTGAGTCGCAATAACTCCTGGATTTGTGCCTTAAGCTCCTGCAACTCCTTCGGCGCCATTCGATACGGGGCTTTGGATACTGGGCCGGCTCCTGGAATGAGATCGATAGAGAACTCTACCTGCCGGTTAGGTGGTCCTCCTGGAAGTTCGTCCGGAAACACGTCAACAAACTCACGGACAATAAGAACGTCGTGAGGTGTTCGTGCCTTCGGAGAATCATCGACAAGGCTCACAAGATAACTCTGACAGTTGCCTTGTCTTAACATCTTGGTGGCTTTCGCCATGGAAATGACATGAGGTAAGGAATGATTCTTGGTGCCAAAGAAAGTAATCAAATCGTCTCCCGGAAGATGAAGAGTAATCTCCCGGTTATGGCATCGAATTTCTGCTTGAAAATATAATAGCCAATCCATATCGAGAATGAGGTCAAAATCCCTCATCTCGAGAACATAAGCGTCGGTAGACAATATACGACCACCGATGGAAAGGCTGAGATCTAAAGCTTTAGCAGTGGTCACTATCTTTCGTCCCGAGGCTAAACTCTCCTCGAGAGGATCGACAGCGGTAACAGAATGTACTCCAATGGCATCAAGACATCGTCGTGATATAAAAGAATGTGTCACTCCAGTATCAAACAGGGCGAAAACAGGAACATCATTTAGCATAAGCATCCCTGACATGGTACCTGGCTGCTGCTCTGCCTCGGCCTGATCAACTGCATAGACTCGGGCCTCCTGTCTGCCTCTCTGCTGCTGCTGGGGTGGCCTCTGAGCCTGCTGTCGGGGCTGCTGCTGCTGCTGCTGTGGCTGCTGAAGCTGCTGTGGAGCTGCTGTGCTTTCTTCGGACAGCTGTTAGAAAATGTCCAGGCTCATGGCAATAATAACAGATATCCTGGCCAAAGCGACACTCTCCACGATGAAGTCGTCCGCAAGTAGGGCACGGTGGAACCTGCTGTTGCCTCTGGCGTGTCCTCCTGTCGGTCTGGGTGCCTTTCCCCTTCCTCTTCTTATCCTTTGATTGTTGGGCAGCTGGTGGAACCGGTGGAGCTGTGGATGACTGGGTGGGGGCAGATGGTTGAGAACGGTCGCGGTTTGCCTCCCTCCGAATGTTGGCGTCCACCTCCTGGGCAATCGAAACAACACGAGCGTAGGTCTGGGATCTGTGACCTACAATGTTGTGACGGACTGCTGGGTAAAGTCCGTCAATAAAACGTTGTGCCCTCTGTGCCTCTGTACGCACCAAATCAGGAACAAAGGCCGCGAGTCTAGTGAATTCCCTCTCGTACTCATCAACAGAACGAGTACCCTGCTTGAGCGACAGGAACTGACGCTCCATCTCGGCTCGGTAGTACGTGGGATAATACTTCTCGTGGATTAGCTCCTTGAACCTCTCCCAGGTACAACCTTCTTTCTCGTCGGGACGCATACTCCAGTAGGCATTCCACCAGAGTCGGACATCACCGGTCAGCTGAAACTGTGCGCAAATGACGCGATAGCGGTCTGGACAGTCCATGACCTCGAAAATCAATTCAAGAGCCCTGAATCCATACGTCCAGAATACGAGGATCTCCTTGACCGAAGAATTTCTCAAGATGATAGTCGCGGAACTGTGCGACTATTGTGGCCTAGGGGATAACCGGGCGATTGGGTTACCTACGGGGCGGCATCTGATCATTGAAAAAGTTCAACATTATTGAACACACGAAAAAAAATACTTTAACTGATTACTATAATACACAGATCTCTTGACGAGTTGCCAAACATGGCCGGAAAATACTGACAGTAATCCTGAGAAAATCTAGAGTTAAATCTGAATATACTGAGCTATAGATTCTGAACCTGATTCGAGCATCTTAACTAAGTCATAACTGCAAAACTTCTGAGCATAGACATAGTAATTTGTTTATAACTTAAAAACATAAATCAGCACTTACCTGTAGTCGGCGAGGCGTGAGCGTGACGGGTTCAGGTTTTTTTGAAAAATTTCTGACTCATAAAAACTTTCAGAGACGCAGAAACGTGCTATGATACCAATTGTAACACCCCGCTATTTCATGAAAATATTTATTTTGCGAAATACTGACTCGGAGTGCTACCGAAAAATCTGACTTTATATGAAAACCGTTATCTTAGTTTAATAACAAAAGGTTATAAAACATAGTAACCGACTGGAGTCGGATCAAAAGCTGGTTTGGTAAACTGAAATAGTAGCGGAAACCATAGTGTAGCCAAAACATAATTACACATATATACAAATGTCCTGAACCGGTCGCCAGCTCACTCTTCGGCTCCGACTCGGTGACCTGAAAAACATGAATAATGTGGGGGCATGAGCACTAATCCACTGTGCACCGGAGAAACTCATACTAAAGTAAACAGTGAAAATAACAATATCATGATCCTGGCATATATATATGAACTGATACTGAACTGAAACTGAAACTGATACCAGTGCTGAATAATCATAATCTGATACTGATCTCGTGATAATCATCACGTGACTGATAACTGAACATCTGCCAGCATAAAAATGTAGGACACCATGTGCACACTCAAGTGGGTAGACTAAGGCCACTAGAACCCAGAATGCACCGGCGACCATTCCGAGCGGATACTAATAATACATACCTCAAACATGGTAGCATAATTATAATCAATGTAATACCCAGTCTGAGTCCCCACCTGATCCTTTGAAAATGAAAGGCAGTGCTGATATCTGAAGCCTGATCAAACTGAAATATAATATAAACAATTACTAAGTACTATGCTTAGACTGATAAAAACAGATGTTTAATTTGTTAACATGCTCTACTGGACTTGACATGATATTTGGATTTAATCGGTATAACTGGAACCGATTAAATACGGAACTGAACTGATATAAATTTACTGAACTGAACTGGACCCGGAATTTTAACTGAAAATGAGACTTGAACATGAACCAGGACTAAAAACATTAAAATATAGCCTAAACCGGTCCAACCGGTCTGAACAAGTCTGAACCGGTCTGGCCGGACCGCCGACCTGCTGTGGCCGGGCGGTCGGCC